TGGTTTACCAAGATTCTGCCTCGGCCGCCCATCTGGGCTGTCCTGTAAAGCACCTGGGAGCACATCTGGAAGGCTGTCTCTGTTTTTATTAAATGGTCAAGTGGTGACATTGACCAAAAAGACTGATAGTGTAGGGTGGGGTGATAATCTGAAGAACTGACCAGGTGCCAGGATCCAGAGAGCCGTGCGCCCGGAGGGACCATCCTCTTTCAAGCTCACTCTCCAATTCTGAGCCCCTCACCAGTGACCAGCACGGGAAAGCGCCGATCCCCAGGAGGCTAGGAAGGGCAAGAAGTGCTCAGACTCCTCTTTTCTTTTCTGTAAAACATCAAGGGCTGGTTTTCTGGATCTCTTGAAGTGTTAGCAAACTCCAAGGACAGCACTTTGGGGCCCCTCATTTGCCTTTCCTTTCCGAGGCACAAGTGGCCAATTCTGAGAGCAATTGAGTTGTGCTTGAAAAAATGTCAAGTGCATTTGGAAACTACACATTTTTGCTGACGCCTGGAGTCCTGAGCTGAGCGACTTCCATGACCCACCGCAGGGAAGAAGTTCAGTGGGGGCAGCACAAATGATTCCTGGGAACACACTGAGCAGCCCCCTCGGGGGGGTGGGGGAAGCTGTCTTAACAGCCAGTTCATGGAAAAATCAGGAGAAATCTCCTAAGCCTTCTGCATCCTCCCTGTGACCATTTGGCCAGATCATTGCCTGTGGGTTCTTTATTTTATTCTATTTTATACTTTTCCTTCACTGTGTGACTGCAATCCTTGGAAGAATCAAAGCTTGCCATTTTTTTTTCAACGTTCTTAGGAAAATTTTCAAGCAGACAGAAAAGTTGGAAGAATAATGCAATGAAAGAATAGCCACCTAGTTTCAACAACTGCTATCATTTCAGCAGATTTGCCTTATCTACTATATATAGATAGACAGATCTTCTTGCTGAATCATTTGAAAGTAAGTTGGAGACTTCATGATACTTCACCTGAGACTTGTGTGTAAAAAATATATATATATATGCCTACTAACAATCTAACAAAAAAAAAAATAGCTTCTTAAACTCTATTAGGCACTAGAATTACCTGGAGACCTTATTGATCATATACTAGCGGACTCCATCTTCAGGTCCAGATGGAGCTCAGAAAATTTGTTTTGTTGTTGTTTTGTTTTGTGCTGGGAATTGAACCTAGAATCCCTCCAATGCCCAGGAAGTGCTCTGTAAATAAGCTATATTCCCAGCCCTTTTTTATTGTATTTTGAGCCAGGTTCTTAAAAGTTGCCCAGCCTCATCTGGTATTTGGGATTCTCCTACCTCAGCCTCCTGAGTAGCGATTACGCGTGCAACCCCCACCCAACCGAATTTGTCCTTTTTTAACAGAGCACTCCAATGATGCGAGAGCAGGTATTTGGAGAGCATAATCTGAAGACACTTTAATTTTAACATTTTAAAATGGCCGCAGTACTATCGTTGTAGTATCATTTTAACCTTGGGAAAGGTTGTAAGTACTTATTTCATCAGAGATTCATTAAGTGCCCACTGTGTGCCACGCTCTGTTGTGTTAGAATTCAGCATTGAACAAATCAGGCAAAACACCTCATTATTTGAACACTTTATAGAAATTCAACTCTAATAATGGAGAAAAGCAGTAAGTAATATACATATATGCACATATATGTCATATAAGGAAGATAAACAAAGGCAGTTATGTTGGGTAACAGAGTAACAGTGAATGAAAGGGGCTAGGGAAGATCTCTCTGAGAAAGTGATATTGGAGCAGAGTTGAATAGCAGAGAGCAACAAGCTGTGCAGATATTTCCAGGCAGAGAGAACACCATGTACAAAGGCCCTGGGGCAGGAAGATGTGAGCCGATGAAGACTAGCAAAAGGATAGCGTGACAGATGGATCAAGGGAGGCTAAGAATGTTAAAAGAGTCATTGGGAAGGCAGCCTGAGAGCAGATCACACAGAGTGCTGTAGGCCATGAGAAAGACTTCTGATTTCATTCTTAGTGATATTGGAAGCCTTTATTTGGGGTGGGGGGGGTGATGGGGAGAGAGGCTGGTGATATATGATATGACTTCCTTTTTAGAAGGAACTATGGGGAATAGACTGGATTATGAAGGGAACAATTTTAGGATCTCAGAAAGCAACTTCACAGGTAAGATGTAGCAGTCACCTCCATCCACTTTTCCTATAAATGAGTGCATTAGAAACAGCATTCCAGTTGGCCTGAACATCGTAGTTTTCATTTTGTTGCTCTTTTCTTGCTAAAACATTCCTATTTTCAATTTATTCATTCTTCCACAAATAAGACTGCCGTCCAGGCACTAGTGTTGTAGACTCTGGAGATATCCAGAGTAATATCTACCAGTACCAGCGCCCAGGAGTTGACATTCTAGCAGAAGGAGAACATTTTAGGAAGGTACATCCTCAAGTATATGAATGAACTCAGTGCTCAAAGCAATGGAAGGGATGTTGGAATGGGCTTCCCAGGCAGGTAGCTGGAAGGTGAGTTGGAGCTGGCTAGGTTGGGTTCAGTGGGGAAGGATAACAAAAGCCATTCGGAAGAATCTTCCATAGCATTTGCAGAGACACGCAGCACGAGCAGCCTTGTGAGGATGCGTCTCTGGTGGCTGGAGCTGGAAGCACCAGGTTAGAGGCAAGGGTGAAAATTGGGTCGTGACTGTGGACATCTGGCCCCATACTGAAATGTAGGTGTCCTCTTTTAGGAACTGGCTGGTGACCAGGGATCTGTAAGTCAGAGCACAGTGTCATTTGTGGTTTGAGGAAAAGAAAAGCAGAAGTTAAAGGGGAGAATTGGTGGGAGGGGTTGATGGGATTCTTTTACCTGCTGGAAGGGAGATGGTGAGGCAGAGGGGACGGTGTTCCCATGTCACTGGGAGGGCCCGGAGCCAGGAGGAGTGGGTTTGGGGAGGAGAAGGAGACTAGTCTGAGTTTGGTTGTGACTTGGAACATGGACCATGAGATACACAAGAGGAATGTGGATCTGAGGTCCAGGAGAAGGTCCATCCAGAAATGGAGACTTTGGATGTATCCTTGAGGGCTGAAGCCATAGATATGGGTAGGATCCTGGAGGGATGAGGGTTGGGTTTTGTGTATTTTAAAACACTTAGAGTGATCCCTTGCAATCCCTTGTGATTCCTTTGTTTTCATTTGGTTTCCTGTGTTCATGACCCACTTTTAAAGAATGGTCCAAGAAATAAATCTGATGGGATTCTAACCCCATTCCCAGAGTTTTTCCAGACCCCAAACTTTCTGCTGTGCCCGCGTTCCAACTGCATCATCAGGCAGTGGGCTATTGTTTGGTGATTCAGAAGCTCTTCAGCTGTGGGTTTGACATTGGTCCAGCTGTAAAGTAGAACTCGCCATTCAGGCTTCTTACGTCGCTCTGAAGAATTAATAATAGAAGCTACTTGTGATGGACAGGGCACTTTCCATGAGCAGCCTTGGTGAAGGGCTCCTCCTATGTGACCTGTGTCAATCTCTGAGTTCCTTGGCTCTTGTTCCCCCCACTCTTCAGGGAGGAGAGGGAGGGTCCCAGAGCGGTGGTGGGTCACAGAAGTGAGCTAACTTGTGCAAAAACAGGGATGCTAGGGCTCCAGGGCAGGACCACCTTGAACTCCATGCCTCAGCCTCTGCCTAACAAGACGCTTCTAATGGGTGGTGTTGAGAGAGCCGTTGGACAAGGACTCCAAAGCCTCATTTATGGAGCCAAACTTCTGGGGTCTGTTCAGATCCTGGAAAATGCTTATAGTACAAACAAAGTCCCAATATCGATTGTTTATTCTTACATTGGCTACATTAAATAATTCACTCATCAGATTCTCATTTTATGATGTGATTCTCAGTCAGACCAGGCTTGCTTGATCTCTGTAAAGATTGAAATGTTTTCAAGGCTTAAGCTAGGCAAGATACAAAATATTTGTAAAAAGCATGATTTTTACCTCAGAATCCCACTGGGAAAATCTGGCATCCCCCAGTTGCAAGGGCAGTGTGGTGCCATAGGTCTGGTTAGAGCTTCCCTAAAAAAATTTTTAAATGATCTAGGCTTGTTCTCCCTGAGCCTCTGTTTCTCACCTGGAAAACTGGGGTGGTCACAGTACCCCCTCATCAGGTTGGAAGGTGGCATGGTTGCAAGTAGGACATTTAACTTGGCAAATGACAAAGCGTACGTGATTGGTAAATAGAACTGCATCTGTTAAAAATAGAAAGAAAAAGGAAATACCTACATTAATGTTTTGAAATCTTAGAAATCGTAGAACTGCAGCTGAGTAAACTGGAGAGGAAGACGTAAGAGAAAGAGTAGAAAGAGAAAGTTCAGGGTGATATTTAAGAGCACGGGTTTTATGGAAAGACACGACGCTGGGTTAAAATCCTCAGACTCTTGATTGATAATATTTAGTTTGTAAATACTGGTGATAATGTATTTCAAGTGCCTTTCAATAGTAGGCATCTGCCGGGCATGGTGGTGCATGCCTGTAATCCCAGCGGCTGGGGAGGCTGAGACGGGAGGATCACGAGTTCAAAGCCAGCCTCAGCAATGGCAAGGCACTAAGCAACCCAGCAAGACCCTGTCTCTAAATAAAATACAAAATAGGGCTGGGGATGTGGCTCAGTGGTTGAATGCCCCTGAGTTCAATCCCTAGTACTAATATATAGTAGGCATTTAAGATGTGTGTGATAACACTCAGCAGCAGCAGCATCGTTTCTAAGTGAGAGACAATAATTCAGTTTTCCTATTTGCTTTGACTACTTTGCAAGGTTGTTGCAGAAAATATAATCTCGGTGCCTTTATGGAAATATGAAATCGTGCAAGTTTATAGTCAACCCACATCATTGCCCGGTGTAATGTGTGCCCCTTATCCTGCCGTAAAGTGGGGGTAGCTCTTTAGCGCTAGGATCGTGTGAATCAGAGGGCAAGGAGCACCCCCGCAGCAGCCCAGTTGTCCAGGGCCACGCTGACTCTCTCCCTTTTTCTTGGCAGGCACTTCCTCTTTAAGACCTCCTCGGGAAGCACCCCCCTGTTTAGCAGCTCCTCTCCAGGATACCCCTTGACCTCAGGAACCGTTTACACGCCCCCGCCCCGCCTGCTGCCCAGGAATACCTTCTCCAGGAAGGCCTTCAAGCTGAAGAAGCCCTCCAAGTACTGCAGCTGGAAATGCGCCGCCCTGTCCGCCATTGCCGCGGCCCTCCTCCTGGCCATCTTGCTGGCGTATTTCATAGGTAAGTCGAGGCAGCCTCGGTCGCTTTTCCTGGTGGTGAGATGGTGGGGGAGAGGCTGTGGCCTTGCGCATGGAGAGGCCCTCTGTTGTCTGTCCAGTTCGCTTGTGGGCTTCTAAGAGGCCTGATGAGGAGTGATGGATGCAGGTGATTTTTTGCCTCCTGGGATCCACTTAAATCTGATGAGTTTCTCCTTCATGATTCAGATGACATCTATCAGAAGTGGAATTAAGTACCCTCGCTGTATCCTTTCCTGCTGATGAAAGGAGAGTTGTCATTTCTGCTACCCAGAGTAGCCTTCTAGACTTCTCTGTCACTGAGTTTTATTCCTGGTCTGTGCCCTGAAATGCACACCGTGTGGATTGACTTTACCCAGAAACCGAATAGAAGGAGAATAGTGGTTGGTCTGTCCTGCCTGACAGCACCCTGATCACAGCGAAAGCCAAACTAGCTAGCTTATTTCCAGAGCTGTGGAACAGAAATAAGATGGAGTGGCCAGAGCATGCAACCAGGTCTTTGTACAGATTCAAGTCACTCAGAGATACCCTTGCCCACATCCCTGTCCCTTAGCTTCAATTCTCATCTCACCATGTGCTACTGAACCTGAATCCGGTTCAGCTCTCATGTCCCTGGTGACTCGGTGCCTGACTTAAGGTAGCAGATCTGTGAAGTTGCTGGGGCACTGGTCTTCCCATGCCAGGGATATTTGTTTGCATCCATGGGTGGATCCATGCAACCACGGAAGGCAGCAGATGCTGAGATCTGAGGGGCAGAGTGCCACATGCATATGAACATCCCGGGCTGGACACAGAGCCTGCTCGCAGCTCCTGGCCCTGACAAAGAGCCCCAGTGCGGCTGCTCAGTCAGCTGCGCTTGCCAATGGCACATCTCCTGGCCCAGGCAGAGGCCGTGGTGACGTTTGTTGAAGTTTATTTGAAACACTCGATGGTTCTGGCTTGGATTCAGGGCAGCTATGAGCTATGAGCTCCCAGGGTTGGCTGTGCCACAGTGCAAAGCAAACCTATAAAACACCAGCTAAAAGAGGCTGACTCCGAAACAGTTCTCAACAGGCATGCTCCAACTCCTCCCATCGAGGAGATAAGGCAGGGCAACACTGACGGTGCAGGCCTTGCCTCTCGCCCCAACATCAACACCCCCCTCACTCTGAAGTATGGTGAGGGGACTGTGGGACTCCTACACTTCCTTCTTCCCCAGGCAGCCCAGCCTGGTGCCTGCCAGAGAAAGAAACTGGTGCAGAACGTTCCAGTCCATTCGACCTCAGCTTGCCTGATGGCAAAGGAGTATATCTGTGCATTCCCAGAAATCTGGGGCTTTGCCCGAAGCAGACCAACACAAAACAAAAAAAAATCAATGTGCATTTTTTACTCTCTTTTATAATACAGCTGTGCTTGTCTTAATGTGGAAAAATAAGCATTTATATCCCTTACCAGTTGAGTTTCCAAGGAATGTCCTCCAAAAGAGAGAAAAGGGACACTCCAACCAAAGGGGCTACACTTAACCTGGGTCCTGGTAAAAGCCGTGGTGCTCTGAACCTCCGTTCTACGTGAGGACTGAGGTCTGATGCCCACGACTTCAAGTCACGTCTGCTTCTCACTTACCTCTTGATGAAGTGTGGAGTGGTGGGTTGACCTGACGGGGAAGGAGGTCTGCAACTTCTTGGATCACTGGATTAGAATCTTTTGTGTTGTTGGAGAGAGTTTTGTGTGATTCCCCAGGCAGCTGTTCAGGGCCTTGGTGGAAGCGAATTCAATGTGCCTTCGGGTTCTTTCCATGATCTGGCTTTATGTCAGGCACTTCAAAAAGGTCCATGTGTTCACTTCTCAGGCTTAATGTTCTGCTGGGCTGGTGAGCACCATGGGGAGCCCAGATACAGAAATCGAGGCCCTGCCTGCCGCTGCCAATATCATCCCCAGTGTCTCTCCTACTCCTCTTGCAGGAGGGAGATAGATGGCTACTGCCTGACTTATTGAGCTTGATAGTTAAAATATAATAGCTTTCTGTAAGGGCAATCATATAAATGGGAAGCCGTATAGTGCGAGTTTAATGTTTTAATCGGGTGTATAACTTGTAAATGATGGATTAGGAAACATATTTATCTTCAGTCTGGAGGCTACTGGAAGCTGGACCTGAGCATCTTAGATGGTTTATTAGTTTATAATCCATCACTTCCTGTTATGTATACTTTAGGTAAGATTATGCTTTGACCCTGGAGTATTGAAAAATAGTTTATGACTCAAAAGGAATGATGTCATGGGCCAATTTACCCCATAGTGAATGTGGGGGTGCAGGACTATCTCAGATCCTCTCCAGAGATGACCATAGGCCTGCAAGCCAGGTGAGGGGTCAGGATCCTCAGTGGTGATCCTGGCCCTGGCAATCCCTTTCTCCTTAGCCTGGTGACGTTGCTTGCCTTCCTAAGCCTTGGTTTCCTACATACAGCACAGGGGCATGATGGTTATTTACATGCAGAAACTCTGAAGGATGGTGAGGATTAATTAATGTGTATAAATCACTTTGAAGATGAAAAGCAGTATATTATTAATCACAAAGCTGCGGGGGCATAAACAGTGCATTGCAAACACAGGGGAAAGGGCTGGTGGGAGCCACTAGTGATTGTGTCTGCCAAAAAATAAAAAAATAAAAAAGGTACTGAGGAGGAACAGAAGGGTAACAGGAAAACCAAGGGCCCTCTGTTGGAGAGACTGGAGCTTTGAAGACCTGAGTCCATCCTGGTTCACATATGACGCCATGTTCCATGAGAACATGACGGGTCCTGAAATTGAAGCAACCACTTCAGGACATTTATGGACAGACAGTGGGTTCAGCCCTGCCAGGCACTGTGACAAATACGTCAAATTATCTTCCTTGCATGTTCAAACCCATAGAGAGAAGGCTTTTCAGAAGCGAGCGATTCGGAATAGCTCAGCCCCATGACAAGTTCTGCATGGCCAGGCGTGTGGGTGGGTATAAAAAGCCAAACGGCAGCCTTTGTGCAAATCAGAACACGTGGGCCTCACCCACTTGGGAAAGATCCCCTTGTCCGGCTCATGTAACCAGGGTGAGAGAACTTTAATGATAGGTAATTCCATTAGACCCTCTCTGTGCCAGATTCTCCCAATGTATAAAACACCCCAGAATAAAATACTCTGAAAAGCTGCGTGAACCACCACGGGACCACTGTGCATGTCACAGCCCCTGGTCCCAACAGATCCTAGAGCATACAGGTTCCGGGGAATTTGAGGGGAACGCAAGAGAGCGTTTTCTTGGGAAGTTGTCTTTCTTCCTTGGCACCTCAAACTCTGTCATTACGTGCAGTGCCAGAAGTCATAACCCTACGTTTCTGGATCATATAACTAGGTAGATTTTCTCCCCTGCTGTGTATGTCGGATATACTGTGTTTATATCTTCATGTATACATAATAGTAACTAGTTCGATAGAACCTTCTCCCTGCTTCAAATTAGAAGTATTTAAAGCACTTTTTTATAACTAGTACACTTAAATCATGATCCCAGTCACCAACATATACTCTAAGTAGAAAATAAAGTTGGCATATGATGCTTCTTTGCTAAGCATTGCTATAGAGATACAGAGAGACTAGTCCTGTGGTTGTTTAGTTGCAGGACCAATGTGAGGTCCTCTGATCTCCTAAACTCAGTCTCTCTAGTCTCCTGATACCCAGTTTACACTTCTTTAATTACTCTCTGAAGACTGTGGCTAGCTGGTTCCTCAAATATTGTATGAAACCTCAGTGGGCCCTCTTGGAGCACTAACTCAACTTATCTAGTCCTGTCCCTCACTGGCAAGAAAATAGTTGCTTCCTATCCTTCCCAAATCAGCTCTGGCACAGTAGAGAGAAATCCTACCTCCTCCTCCATCTCCAACCTGTCTGCGTTCTCCAAAATCTTCTGTTATGGGGCTCAGCAATTTTTTGCTATTAAAAGCCAGACAATAGAAACTCTGTGCTCAGTGGGACAGTCAGTCTCTGTCATGACTATTCCACTCTGCCATGGTGACTCAAATGCAGCCATAGAAGCGTGTAAACAGACAGTCAAGACTTTAATTATGGACACTGAAATCTGAATTTTATGTAATTTTCATCTATCATAAAATATGCTTCTCTTGATCTTTTTCAGTCATTTAAAAATGTAAAACCATCCCTTGGGTCACATGCCATATAAAACAGGTGGCAAATTGGATTTGGTTCATAAAAAGGCCCTAGTTGTCAACCCCTTTGATTCTATCAGTGCTCACCTCCTAAGATTATCTTTCAGGGTCTTTCCACCTGCTTGAAAACACTACTTGCTGCTAAGAGTACACCCATATGTCCACTATCAATAAAGCAAGCCGTTGGTGTTTTCTGATACTGACATCCTATTTTGTGATAAATAATTGCATCTGACTTTCTGGCCCAAATTTAAAAGTAAGAAAAGCAAGCCACATCTCTCTCCACTTAAAATCTTTCTGTAGGATGGACTATTCCCTCCTGACACTATAACTGTAACTAGACGGCCTGAAACGCGCTCCACCACCCCCAGAATGGGATGGTGTAGCCCTTTTGCCACACAAATCAATAGTCCTCAAACTCGGTTACCCCAGGTTCTTCTGCAAATCCATTTCCTGTTTTTGCAACCTCCTCAGTGCCTCATGCCACCTTCATTGAGGTTTTCCAACAGGTTGTGACACTCCTGGGCCACTGAATGACATCATCCCCTTGTCATCTCAGGTTAGCATTGACCAGATCTCATTTCCTTAAAAGGCATAGAAGTTTTAACAGGCCTACCTCACGTCAGGGAAGAAAGATGCTTCCGATGTCTGAGTAAGTCCAGCTCCTCCCAGAACTTCTAAGTGAGAAGCCGCATGTTGACATGGAGCTCAGACTGTCACCCCTGAGTCAGAAACAATGGGTACCCTGCCCCAAGATTCCCTCTAACAAGGCTCTCCATGTGGTTGGGAAGGGAAGAGGGCAGAGAGGAGGATAAGA